CCCAGGTGCCCCTCCTTCATATTTGAAATAGAGATGTGGAACCTAATTTCTCTCCTCTTGAGTATGGGCCAAACATCATAACTTGCTATAACAAAAAGAATCAGATGGAAGTGGCACTGTGTGACTTGAGAGACTAGGTCCTAAAAGGCACTATGACTTCTGCTTTCTCCCCAGTGAGTGAAAGAACCACCAAAGCCACTCCTGAATTTCTGACCCAAAGAAACTAGGAGACAAGAATTTTTTGTTGTTGTAAGCCACTAAATTTTGGGGTAATTTGTTATATAGCAGTATACAATCAATACTGGAGTTGCCTGGTTTCTTGGATCTGTCGTTTGATGCTTTCATTATTTTTTGGAACTTTCTCAGTCATTATCTCTTGAAATGTTTCTTTGGCCCCAATCTCTTTCTATTCTCCTTTAGGGATCCCAATTACATGTATATTAGACTGCAAGGTGCTGTACTACAGTGCTTTGATGCTCTGTTTGCAGTTTTTTTTTTTCAACGTTTATTTATTTTTGGGACAGAGAGAGACAGAGCATGAACGGGGGAGGGGCAGAGAAAGAGGGAGACACAGAATCGGAAACAGGCTCCGAGCCATCAGCCCAGAGCCCGACGCGGGGCTCGAACTCACGGACCGCGAGATCGTGACCTGGCTGAAGTCCGACGCTTAACCGACTGCGCCACCCAGGCGCCCCTCTGTTTGCAGTTTTAAACACTTGCCAAATCAGCCTAATCACATCCCTGCCTCTTAAGACACCAGTCCCAGCTGAGCACCATCTCCTTCTCTGAGGAACTCCACAGGAATGCTCCCCTAAGCTCTAAATCTTAATAATTCCAAACTCTTCACTTTGCTTCCCCAGCCCTAGAGGGGTTAGTTGCTTCCTGAATTTGCTAATTGTGATATATTATTGTTTCTTGGTATCTTTTGAGTTAACAATGTACCCTAATAACATTTTTACTAACATTTTCTCTGTTCAAGTAACAGGTATGGTTTCTATTTTCTAACTAAATCTTGACTGATTCAGAAATTGTTATGGAGAGTCCCAGTAAACAAATCCTCAAAGGTAGGATTCTGGAATTTGTTTCGTTGTGCCTCGACTTGATCGTAGTGTGAACTCCTTGCTAATAGGAAGTGGAATACTGTGACCCATTTCATGACATGGCAACACAATTAGTCAACATTACTCCAACTTGTTTGGCCATGGAAACTTCTGTTGAAAGAAGCATCTTACAGAACTAGTATTCAGCAGAACAAACTCTGGGAAATGCTGGCTCAGCCATCCTTCTCTATTCAGTATATCCTCCCGAAACACACCAAGCATGTTCAAGTTGCTGCTTATGCTTTATCTAAATTGAGAATTTATACTCATCATTTGAGCCTCAATCCACATTCTATATCAGTTTAGAGCTTCTCCTGACACTGAACCCAAACATTTCCTCAAAGGAATTAACTGGTTGTATTATCTTATACATACTTCTAAAATGATCATTGTCACACTATATCATAGTTGTTTGCTTACATATATACCTAGCCCACTAAAATTGGAGCTCTTTGAGAGTCTTTGCCTGATTCATCTTTATATTGCCTATGCTGATCATAGTGTCTGGCACATAGAATGTACAATTAATTGGTATGGCTAACATTCATGAGAATGTTTATGGAGGCTAGCTATATTTATTCATTAAGAAAAATTTGAGCACTTTGAAATTGGCATTATTCTAGAAGAGGATAAACAGATATGCTTTGTTATTTGAAATGAATTTGCATATCATTCTTACTATGAGTTACAATTTCCCCTCAAGTATAGAAGCTTGTGGGTTTTTTTTTCCCATTTACATATCTGTTCACTCTAGATAGGCAAATAAATTCAGCTTAACAAGCATATACTGATTAATTAGTATAGTACCTGACATACAGGTACTATACTGAACCTTAAATACACAAACATGATAAATGGTCATGGCTCAATGGGGAGACAGGCTCATAGTCAAGGAAATTTCAATATCAATATGATAAATACAATAATCAAAAGTATATACAAGTTGCAGGAGCAGTTTAGCAGAAAAGATAAACTCTTCATGAGAATTGAGGGAAGACTTATCAGAGATTTCTGAGCCATAGTTTGAAAGAGGAATAGGAGTTTTATAAACTGAGGTGGGGGCATAAATAAAAAACATGGAGACAAAAATAGTAAAGTTCTAAAGAACTAAAAGCAGTTTCAGGAGCATTAGCACCAGATGGTTTGTGACAGAAAATGAGGCTGCGAATTTAGGCAAAGGCCAGATCATGAGAAGAGACTAAGATGCCATTCTAAGGAACTTGCACTTATCCATCAGGTGATGGGGAAGCAGAGAAGATAAATAACGTTTATTTTTCTTTTGCTGCATTAGTTAAAATTTGTACTATGTACATTGAACAAACATGTTGAGCATGTATAATACTACAGGCATTTTGCTGTGCACTGGATTATTTAATGGAGTTGTGCCTTTAAGGCTCTTCATAAAGCATATTTTTGTTGATAAGATGGATAGTCCAGATTTCATTTATACTTTCTATCCTCTCAACTGATTCTTAGCATAAACTTGCAGGACAGTATTTCTAATTCTGTTGGTAACACAAAGAACAACACTTTGAATCATTTCTGTCAGGCAGCAGATTTTGCAGCATCCCACTTTATAAACTATAATTAGCCTTCTATAATGAGAAAATTATTTTCTTTATTCCCTTTCTAAATGTCATAGCTTTCATCATATTTTTTGTTATACATCACTATCTACATATTTCTATTTAAAGTTAGCCCAAGGAAATCCACATCTTTTCAGCCTATTTAAAATAAATAGAAGAAAATAAGAAATTTCCAAACTGAAGGTAATAAGCATCAGGAAGGAGTAAGAAAGATCCCTGGAAAGTAGGAATAATGCACAAAAGAGTTAAATTCCAACTATTATCTCATTAAGCAGTACTAAGATATAAGTGTAAGTTTGGATATTGAAACAGAGTTAAATAGACAACATACATAAAAATCAAATGGCTATAAATTCTATAATAGAGGAATAAGGGAACAAGTAAAACTTGAAATTTCAAAATCAGTGATGGCATGGACAGGAATGAGCAGTACCTAATTAAAGATGCTATTCTTATAATATACTAAGCGTGGTCCCAACTGTGTTTCCTACCAGTGTCCTGAATATTGGGGAAAAAACAAAAACAAAAACAAAACAACAACAAAATGTTCACACCTAGATGAAAAGAAATGATCTGAAACTGGTTGCTAATTTGTTACAAAACAAAAATTTCTAGTTACCCTCTTATATTCTCCTTGAAAAGAGACCTAAGGCAAAAAATGCTAGCATTGCAAAGAATCGTGAATTTAGGTTAGGTATGGAGATGAGTTAGGTACGGAAGGTTGCTCAATTTGGGATTACACATTGTGAAATCTTTCTCTGGATGTTTCTAGACATAGGCTGGATTATAAATTGTATATCTTGCTGTGAACAAGGAAACAGACAGGATTTCTCAAGATCCTGTCAAGCCTCCTGATCTTTGGAAATGAAAGCCTAATTAAGAGGCTCCCAAGGGACAGGTCAAAGGCGTTCTTTTATCCCTACTGCCCCTATTCCACTTTCTTGATGCCTATTCTGCTCTTTTCATTCAGCCTACTCTAAAACTGAAGAATACATATTGTGCAAGTTTCCACCTTTGCTTTCTCTACTGTAGATGCATTAGACTATTAGAATTAAGAATTTTAAATCCCTCATCCCTTATCTCTACACTGATGTGTTTTGTTTTTGAATAGAGCTTAACATTAAAAATTCTTCTAAAATTTGTGTTCTTCAACTGGACAACAAAACTTTTTAATGTTAGACTCTGACTATAAGATTGAAAGTCCTTCAAATATGGTTTTTTTTTTTTAATTTTTTTTTCAACGTTTATTTATTTTTGGGACAGAGAGAGACAGAGCATGAACGGGGGAGGGGCAGAGAGAGAGGGAGACACAGAACCGGAAACAGGCTCCAGGCTCCAGCCATCAGCCCAGAGCCTGACGCGGGGCTCGAACTCACGGACCGCAAGATCGTGACCTGGCTGAAGTCGGAGGCTCAACCGACTGCGCCACCCAGGCGCCCCAAATATGTTTTAATAAATCTGATGAATAATACTCTGTCAAATTTCAATTCGGATTTATGCCTTCCTTCTAATTCCAAAGATTGTGTTGCAGGCAATTACTTGGGTTAAAGGGTTAGAATTGTATTGACAGTGTCTCACTTTGAAAGTTTTAGGGTGAGCGTCTCTACAGTATCACCCAGAGAATAGCAGCTGATGCGCGTTTTAAAACTTGACATAATTATTTTGCAGATTTAAAGTAATTAACGTCATTCCCTTGATAGTAAATGAGGCATAGTAAAGCATCTTACTGTTCTTTTCTATCCTCCGCTCCCTCGCATGAAATATTAGTGACGTTAATTTGTGTTTTAAACAACCCTGTAGATTCTACAAGGTTGTAATGTTCTAAGTATGACAATTCTATGTGAAACAGTTTTCCAATGTTTAGAAGCAGGTGTGGGCACTGCTGTATCCCCGACCTTTCTGCAGACCATTTCACAGCGCCATGTTAAAATTTTAACTTTTAATTTAAAAATTTAACTTCTAAAACTCTTAACATTTAACTATGTTTCCTCTTACCATCACTGATAAGCAACATCTAAGAACCAAGACAGTCTTCAGATGCTAACACTCAGTGGACCACAGTTCCAATCACCAACCCAAATACCTTCTGCAACCTCGTTCAGGTCTACAATTCCCCGCTCCCAGTCCTCGGTGTGACGCTATAGCTGCACCTGATTGGTGCACGGGCTTGTCAGTCACAACGAGAGAGTGGGTCCTCGAAAGCCGAGTCTAAATGAGACGCTGTGTTTTTACGTCATCTCCCAGAGACGAAATCGGGAGGGGGTGGGTTTGTGAGCACAACTCGGTGGTGGCGGGGGTAGCCTGTGAAGGTGTCATGGCTGCTGTCGCTGAGCTTAGTCGCTCCAGCAGTGGTGACAGGAGTTTGGAACGGAGCTGCAGCCCTAATCTCTCCCAAGAGGTGCTCTGCGAAATCTTTCGCTCTCTGCATAGCCTGGTGGGACAAGTGAGTGGTGGTCTGTGGGAGTAGGGGTATGGGAACTATCCAGCCCCTCCCCCCTTTTTTCCTCTAGCGGAGGCGGGGGGCCGAGGACGCCGGCCGGGATCCGGCCTGAGTAACTGAGGCCGGAGGAGGAGCCCGAGCCCAGCAGCCTACGGTCGGAGCGAGGATGGCCGTACGGACTTAGTTCAGGATGGGTTGCAGACTAGATTTCCTTGCAACTCTTCTCCCCAAGAGTGAGAGAGGAGAGTGTAAGTGGAAAACCCGGCTCCGAGAACATGTTTGGAGAGAATGAATGTGTAAAAAGCTGTGTAGGTTGGGAAGGCGCCTGGCGCGTAGGACTCTCTTTCCTTCAGTCCATTCATTATTGAAATTGATAGGCTAGTGCGGCCTGAGAGTTTTGGAAAAGAGCTCTCAGCCTTTTTTGAGTGATTTGCTGTAATGAGTCACTTGGTTTTCTTTCTTTTTTTCCTTCTGGTCGTTGTGTGCATCTCTTACCCTTTCATACAAGGAGGAAAATAAAAGGAATTAATCTAAATACTTCTTGCATAAAGTTGGATGAGTTAGCCACGGTTGACAACAGTTTGCATCGGGAACTGTTGTTTAATCGTCATTTAATTATTAACTAATTTAACTGGCTAATAAATAACCTCTGCAGATATATCATAATAAATTGGGCTTAAATAAAAGTACTCCCTACACTCTATTACAATTAAGTGACTATTTCGTTTCATGAAGTAAAATGCAAAGCATATTTTAAATGAGAAACACTTGAAAATACGTTTGTTTGCTTTTAAAAAGGAAATCTTTTCTCATATTTTAGATGGAATATTTTCTAGCTCTAAATGTTTGTTGTGGGGTTGGTACTAGTGCGGGTAGCAGACTTTTGTGTCGAAGATAATGTTATCTTCCTTTATAAAAATGGATCATTTGTCTGATTGGTAAAACATTATTTTAAAAAGCCGTGGGTAGATAGAGAATACATTTTTTTTAAAGTTATTTCAGTATTTAAAAGAAATTCTAACATGTCGCGACTTGCAAAAAGTACTACTCCAAGTTGAACATTAGTTTGGTGTAATGGAACAGTTATTAATAGAATCTGATAAAAGTTATAACTTTTGAACTCAATTGTTTGCCACGGACTTACTAAAAAAATTTTAAAGACTGGGGGACATAAATATTTTAGTCTTATCACCGAAGACCTGTACTGGTTTAACAGTTTAAGAATGTTTTATGACATTAGAATTGTAAGGTTTATTTATATTTAAATGTCAGGATGAAAAAAGTTTTTGCTCATCTATAATTTACATAAGGTTTTTTTTTAGTGATGAGATATTTTTTAAAGTAACATTAAGAAATAATTTAAACATTTCTTTTGAAATATTTTGCATACTGAATTTTTACAACTCATTTAAAAAATTTAAACATTCAGATATTCTGACGGTACAAATAGAGATGTGATTAAAGTTTACTTATGTCACTTGTCAAAAATGTTAAGAGTAAATATTTGGCGAGTTTACATGACACAGTGAAGGGACCATCTATACAAGTGTCAAAAAGTAAATCCTTGTCTCATCAATTAAATGCTAACTATTTTTTACAATGCTAACCATTTTGATATTACTCTTTATGTTTTGAGATGTATTCTTTAAAGATAAGCATGAAAGCCACAATACTTATCAAATTGCTCCTGGAGGAAATCACTATTTACTTTTGCAACAAGTTTGCAGGCTGCATTTTTAATTATAAGTTTCAAAAAAAATGTCAATATGCCTAATTTCATTCTGCATAGTATCATTATATTGTTGGCTCTCCTCAGTAAGAAACAAAAATGAATGTTAAAAAGTATTTTCTATCCCAGATTTCAGATTTACTGATTTTAACCTTCTTGCTTGCCTCTCCATGGCCCATTTTACCAAGCTGAAGCATTATTTATTGTTAGCTTGGAGTTTCATATTAATTTAAGTTTTTACTGAAAATGCATATTTGTATAGGCCATATTAATATCGAACTAATACATTTTTGAGTGAATGGTTTACAATAACAAGTTCTGTAGGGTAAAAATGCATAGAACTCGTATTACTAATAGGGAATTTGTTAAGTAAATAGTTGGATATATTGGGATAATTTTATTTATTTATTTATTTTTATTGGGATAATTTTAAAGTTAATTTGTATCATGTGGTTTTCTTGAAAGACCAAATATTTTTAATTGTGCTTGGAAGGCTTACATAATCATGCTGAATTGAAAGGAGAATATGATCCCAACATTAAGATTTATTTTCTATAAGTTATTTTCTCTAGAAAATTTGATGCTTTGCTTTGGTTGAGGATTTATCTGTGTTATCCCTAAACTCTATTATAACTAGTGTTTAGGGATAACTCTCTTATGAATAACACATAAATTTATTATCAACTATAGATCTCTTACAGGACTGTAGAAGTACAGTAATAGTTTACTTCCATACGTAAGTTGTTGTCTAATGAAATTTTTACAGGCATTAAATAATATAAACTAAGATTAATGCAGTAATCTTAATGTAAAACCTTAGTTAACATAAACTAACCTTTGCCAATGCAGTCTATACAAAACTTCTATTTCTTTATACGTATCTAATATGGACCTTAAATGTTTCTTGTCTCATGCAAAGGGTGGGGGTGGTAAATTTTTGTCATATAGTATTCATTGAGTATAGTGCCTTTTTGGTAACTTTGGGTCTCTGGTTCTTTATTCAGTGATTCATCTTTTTGTTTTATTATAATCACAACTCATAACATCTGTATTTGAACTAATGTAACACTTGCCTTTATTTTGTACAAAATAGGACTTTTAATAAATGGTTTCTGAAAAAATAATTCTACGATGCAGCATATCTTTATAGTATGCTATAAACACATGTCCCTAGAAAAGTTTATTATGGTTCACTTTTATTTACTTAAGAGCCTAAGTATGGAAGCTTTCCTTCTAAAATTTTCACTAATTTTGATACTAATTTTATATTCGGGTTCTTGGTAGTTTTCTGTATATAATTTTATTCTAACAGGTCACACATAGCCAACTTATAAGAAGTTTTATATGATAAGCCCTCACACAATACTAGAAAATACTATTTAACCAAAGATTTGGCCAGTGTTGTGGAAAAGTTTTTGTTTTTCACTTCAGATTCCACAGCTAAGTAATTGTTTTTTTATTTGAAGTAAATAAACATGCTGCAGTTTGTCCCTAGATTTTATAATATGTATGAATAATCTTGAGTTTTAAATTATTTTAAAAATTGGTTAAAGTTGAAAATGATAAAAATGTGATTCAGAAAACATCAGAGTAATGATGTATGCCAGTTATGTTTTTATGTACATATTTAACAAAAAGAAATGTTTATATCAGAACTTGCATAAATGTACCTGCCCCTCTGTTTAATGTTCTGAGCTAGAAGTACTGAAAAGGGCAAGTCTTTCTTGCCTCTCATCCAAAGGTTTTAGATAATGAAGTATCAAAAAAAGCCTTATCTTTCCATCTTTCCTGGACAGTTTCACCTGTGAGATGGTCCCATTACACAGACCCAAGAATAAAATTAGAATGAGATGTCATTGTGATTTTTTTCTATAAAAATTGCACCTTTCTTGGCCTTTTAAAATGGTAACTAGGTAGAGCATTTTAATGTATCATTAAAAACCTGATAACTTTGAGCTAAATAGGCATGTTACTCTAAAGAAATATTATTTTTGTGACATCCCATATATTCAGCTTAATCGTGTAATTTTTGTGATGTCGCTGGTTTGCCCCTTTGAAGCTTAACCTCAGAGATGATGTGGTGAAAATTACAATCGATTGGAACAAGCTCCAGAGCCTCTCGGCATTCCAGCCCACTTTGATCTTTAGTGCACTTGAACAACATGTTTTATATTTACAGGTAAATTTCTTGTTAAAAATGTTAATTCAGTATTGAGAATAGAAATTAATTGCAGTTAAATTATAAGCTAGAGTATTTGTCAGGTCCGTCTTAACACTGTATTAATAGTGTTATCAGTAAAAGGTTACTTCAGCCAGATTAGATCTAAATCCGTTCATTTCCATAGTGATCTGGACAGTCTCAGGAATATAGTCCAATAGGCCAATGTGGCTATGAAGACTGAATGAATGCAATTCTATTCAATTCTAGACTTGTGCCGAAAATTCAATACAGTAGCATCTATGGTGGGTTATAATTAAGCAATAAGACACGGCAGGTGTGTGTCATGCTATGATAATGATTCCATGCCTTGGGTGAGTTTGGAGGCTCATGGAGTGCTTTCAGTGGTTCAAGAAGTGGCATTATCCCAGCATGACACATCCTGGAGTGTCTATTGCAATTAAACAGTTTCAGCATACTTTTTAAAAAGAAAGTAATTTCTGTGACATTAATGTCTCATCTTAGTAAGTAGCCAGTCACTATTTTATCTTTTCTTTTTCTTAACAGTTTGAAATAATTCATCCCTTATATTAGAAGTCAACATTGAATTATTTATAATAGTATTGCTATATTTTATAATATTTCAGTTTAGTAACTAGTTATTTGCTAGTTTCCAGCTGAACATCTCTGCAGTTATAACTGATGTTAAGTTTGCAGTTTATCTCTAATCAAAGTATATAATATGAAGTGTCAAAAGGTAAGTGGAAGAACTGTTTGGATTGGTCATTTTATTGCTATTAGGATGTTATAAGGTTTCAGAAGAATAGTTGGTATATAGTAAACAACAGAAGCAAAATTATAGGTATGAAAAAATAACTGGAACATTGACCAGTACTGGTGTGTTTTGATTAATGGAGTAAACATTAATTCTCAACCCTCTGTTCAGTGACTATGGGAAATTTTAACTCTGTTTCATATTGAAATAGTTAACCCTAAGATTAAAGGACAGAAATAATGCGTTGTAGAACTCAATTGAGGCCTGATTGTTGGGGGGGTGGAGGGTGGAATTAGTGGTATAATTTACATTATACAATAGGGTTTTTTTGTTTTTTGTTTTTTTTTTTTTTTAATTCCCTCCAGTATAGTGAATGATAGGCATATATCTCTTTTCAGCTATGGAACTTGGGAGTTTTTATTTTCTTTTTAAAAATTTAATTTCGTGACCCAAGAAGGTACCTTGCCATGTCAGGAAAAGCCTGAGTGTTCACTCAGCATAACACCTATATATTTCATATCTATGCTGTCTCATTCACTTTGGCCAACTGCAGTTTCAAGTGGAGAATCTCCAGTGATACAGTGATAATGCAGGGCTTTGCTGAGTGAGAGCACTGGCTCTCATGTTAAGGAGGAAAAATACTAAGCCTTAGTGTTCTGAGGAGGCATTTGAATGACATGTTAATTAAGTGGCATTGGTGCCAGAGGCTGAGGCTTTGATTTGGCACAAAATAAAAGATGAGTGACAGAATGATTCCCTCAAAGAAAATTTTAAATTTCCTCAGGTTTGTTTTCTTTCTTTCTTTCTTTCTTTCTTTCTTTCTTTCTTTCTTTCTTTCTTTCTTTCTTTCTTTCAAACAGATTTATAGCAAATGATAATGGTCACAATAGCAGAGAACAGCAAACACATGTGATCAGATCTATGTATCCTGATATGCCAACTTTTTATATTTTGTTTGATATTAAATATTGCATTTACTTAGCAGAAATTTATATAAATATATTAAATGTGTAATTAATTTTGATTAGTTTGAACCTCTGCAGATGGAATTGTGTTTTTCTCAGCCTTTTTTAGCAAAACTTCAGCCTCTGATTAAAGAGGAGAATACAACTGTTGTTGGAGGGACAGAAAAAACAGAAATGGGGAGTAAGAATGAAGTAAATGCCAAATTTCCCATTAGTGACCTACAAGAGGAAGAAAAGCACAAAGATTGTGATTTAGGAGATGTGAAAAAGACACAGATCCATGTTGATCCAGAAGTAGTTCAAATAAAGGCTGGAAAAGCAGAAGTAAGAAGTTTTGGTTTTTTTGGGGGGGGGTATTATTTTTTAAAATCTTATGCTTGAATTGTTAAAACATGCATACTTATTGTTTGTAGATTGACAGACGAATATCTGCATTTATTGAAAGAAAGCAAGCTGAAATCAATGAAAACAACGTGAGGGAATTTTGCAATGTTATTGATTGTAATCAAGGTAACTACCTCGAAGAAGTTAATTTTCATAGGATTTTAAGCACAGTTTTTACAGTTGCTCTGATTTTTCATTTGTTTTTAAAAATGAATAACATTAAACCAGTTTATTTCACGGGTTTATTTAGAAGCTAAGGCAGCAGAATTTCTTTCTGTTTAATAATACACTACATTGCAAAAACAGGTTTCATTTTAGTTATGCAAAGATCAAATGCTACACACAGGGGCTACCACAGGTGAAGATTCTTTTAAATTTCCTTTAGAAATGAAGATGAAATGTGGGTGGCAGTGTTGCTTAGTCTCCCAAGAAGGAACTAAGCTATATAAATTTCAAGCCTGTAAATGTACTTTTGAAATTATGATGTTAATACATAAAGTGAACTTAGGAAAGTTAATACTCCTCAAGAGGGAGCAGTTTTCTCACTACTCATGAGCTGTTTGAAATGTTTTCTGTCACGATAAAAAAAACTGTCATGAAGACTGTGGTGTCTTATGCTTTCTTCCTTTCTCTCACAGTGCATGCATTTGCTGTTCTTTTTATCAGATTCTCCTTTTCCTTTCCACTTGGTGCTATAGTATATTTACAAATCTGCAGGTATGCTGCAGTATACAAAGTATTGCAAAGCACTGGCATAGATCTTACTCAGGCATCATAGTAATAATCAGAACAAGTAGTTCTTAGAAAAAATTATGGAGAAGAGTTCCTAATTGGAATGAACATTTTTCTTGTTGCCTCTACCATCTCTTAGCTAATTATTATGAATACAGAATTGTGAGATGAACCTAGAATTGACACTTACATTGGTATACTGATTCTCTTAATAATGAAATAATACAGGCTCAAGTGGGTCCTGAATTCAGCCTTTTCTGCTATTAACATTATACATGCATATCTCTAGACTTAGTAAATTTTCCTGTTAGCTTTTCAGAACAGGTGCAATAGTGGCAAAATCTCAGGTATTGCAATCCATCCAACTGCAAGCAACCCATGAGAAAGGGTTTGTTGAGGGAACAAGCACATGTGTCACTAATGTTATTCCTCTGTTCTCCCTGCTAACTCTATTATTATAAACCACCAGGGGATAGAAATTGACAAGAATTGAAATGCTCAGCAGGATTCCTTGGCCCATTCAATCCCTTGCTGGCTCAAAACAGTGCTAGCAAGAATTGCTGTGAAGAGTGGCTAGCACTCATACATTCACTATCTTCACACCATGCTGAATTTCTCACTGATGGGTCAGTTAATCTATATACATGGAATATAACTCTGGAATGGATGATAGCTTCTTTTTTTAACCCTTAGCCCCATGAAATGTTAGAAAAAGAATGGAGAAGTGATGGCCCTTTGAACGTATATTGAGGTATCTCAAAAAAAAAAAAAAAAAAAAAAAAAAAAAAAAGGAAAGAAAAAATGATTCTGTTTACTATCTATATAAAAGATAAATTTAGAATATTCACATAATTTAATTTGTCAGCAGAACTGTTAAGGAAACTCAGACTGAAAAAATATGAATGTATTATAATGTGTTCGTGTATTCCTTTGATACCTGTCAATCTGACTGAAACAAAAAATATTTTTTTTTGAAAATCAGTTTCCATAGGGAAAAAAAGAATTTTCCCTCAGTATCTCTTTTATCATCTATTTTTTATTATAATATAAGGGGAAATTTTCAGGAAATTTACTGCAGTGCATGGCTTAATGTCATTTTAAGTATAATTTCATAATATTTGACACATTTATGTTTCAAATTTATTCATGTTAGGTTAACATTATTCCAGTTTTCCCCTGGGTTTGTAATTAATTTTTGATACCTAATTTGAGAAAAAAAAAAAAAAAGCTATGCCTTTCAGCTTAGAAAAAACTGGAACAAATTTTTACAACTTATTTTTCCTAAAATTGTACCTTTAGACAGGAACAGTCTGGAAAGAGACAGATAGCTTTTGGGATTCTGAAATTAAAATGTGTTAAATGTATAACTAATCCTTTTTATTAGATGATTGCTAATTTGACCAATAAGTAATATCAAAATGCTGTATTTTTTTAAAAGGCATTTCGGTAAAAGTAATGAGTTCTATTTATTTCTGTGATGAAATAAAGGGAATAAAGTCTCTTTGGCTTAAAATTAAAATGCTTTCTATAATATATAAAGTATTTTCTCCAAAGGTCCAGATGGTTTGGGTGGATATTGGTATTTGTTAAAAAATTATATTAAATTATGCCACTGAATGCTGAGGACTTTTCTTTCTATAAATGTAAAAATTAGGTACGATTAAAGCTTATAAATTTTAGAGGGTAAAGGTCACTAAATTTTATCCTGAATAAGATGGTAATTTAATTACTGTTATTTGAAATGATAATTCTTTTATTAGTAGCATGTTAATATGAATTATTGGAAGTTTATCAAAATCTCATATAGTTGAAGTTAAGAATATATTTAAACTTTTTTTTTTTCAATATATGAAATTTATTGTCAACTTGGTTTCCATACAACACCCAGTGCTCATCCCAAAAGGTGCCCTCCTCAATACCCATCACCCACCCTCTCCTCCCTCCCACCCCCCATCAACCCTCAGTTTGTTCTCAGTTCTCAACAGTCTCTTATGCTTTGGCTCTCTCCCACTCTAACCTCTTTTTTTTTTTTTTTTTTCCTTCCCCTCCCCCATGGGTTCCTGTTAAGTTTCTCAGTATCCACATAAGAGTGAAAACATGGTATCTGTCTTTCTCTGTATGGCTTATTTCACTTAGCAAGGAATATATTTAAACTTATACTCATCTAAATTCTCCTTAGAAAACAGTTGTGCAAGAACTGATGCCATTTTTACTCCTTACCCGGGATTTAAAAGTCATGTAAAAGGTAAGTATCCACTACATATCTTCATCACTGACAGAAGTTTATTCTCAATTATAAACAAAATGGAATAGAAATCACCTTCCTATCTAAATTTTGTTTATTTTAAAACACAAAAAAAGTCTTGCCTTCATACTTGGGTTGGTTAGATGGTCTTTATAAAGTACTGTTAGGGAGATAGAATTTCTGACGTTGGAGCGTATTAAATTTACATTTCAAAGTTTCTTAATTTAGTTTCTAGAGTTGTGAATACATATGGACCACAGACTAGACCTGAAGGAATTCAAGGGTCAGGTCATAAACCTAACAGCATGCTCCGAGATTGTGGTAATCAGGCTGTAGAAGAACGACTACAAAATATTGAGGCTCACTTGCGATTGCAGACGGGTAAGCAGAGTGCTGGGCAGTGCCCTAACAAGGTACCTTTGCAAGTAGTTAAACTACACAATTTATTGAGTCACAGAATTTTCATTGAGCACTTGCCACGTACAAAACATGCTTCTGGTTGGTATGAAAATGAACAAAGCATAGTCTCTACTCTCAAGGAATCTACAGTTCATGTGTTCAGGTTCTCCCTCCTCTTGCACTTCTCACCAATTTGAGACTGTTAGTAGAAAGGGAACAGATTCCAAATAGATCCTGACACTCTCAGTTTATTAAAGTCATGGCTGAAAATTAATGTAGTCTTTTTCCTGCCACCAGTGTCATAACTTAACCACGACTATCACCCACTGTGCTAGGTACCAAGTATTGATAAATGTGATCCTAGTCCCCAAAGATCTTTCAGTGAGGAGAAGCATATAATTAAGTAAATACCATAGGGGAAATGAACTAACATTTATTGAATAATACTAAGTGCCAGTCACTCAAAGTATTATACATGTCAACTCACCTAATATTTAACAGTACCTTTGTGAGGTGTTGGTGCTGTTATTGTCAGATGAAGAAACTGAGTTCAGAGAGCTCAAGCAACAGGCCCAAGGTAGTAATGACAACTCGAAATCAAACCTCAGTCTTAACTGGCTGTAAAGCCAGTCTCCCTTCTCATTTAGTCACCAGATAACTGTTGATTCTGTCTTCTGAATATCTCTCAAACCTACCCACTTCTGTCTACTTCCACATCTGCTTCTCTAGTTGAAGTCACTGTTCTCTGCCTGAGACTGATGGAAGGATATTTGCTGGTTGCTTGCCACTAGTCTTCTTTCTCTTCTTCCTCAAGACCAAATCTGGACCAATGGCCAAACTGCTTTTTCTGAAGCTCAAATCTGATCTTGCTGCTCCCCAGTTAAAAATTCTTTAATGGTTTCCTGTTGGCCTTACATGCATACCAAACTTAGTACTTATATATTCATTCCACAAATAGGTATTAAGTTCCTACTGTAAGCCAGGTACTGTTCTAGGCACTGAGAATACATGTAAACAAAAATTCTAGTAATAAATTATATGCTACACAAGAAGAGCTACAGAGAAAAGCAGGTTGACCAAGAGAAGAGAAAGGAGCTTAGGATGGGAGGGGATTATAATTTTAAATAGCACGATGTACTCCTCCAGTTCCAGCCCCCTCTGGGCTTCCCAGCTCCTACTCATTTTGCTGTCCTTAGGGCCTTTACCAAGGCTTTTTCTTATGCCCATGCTTTCCCCTCCTGATCCCAGACTGTTATGGATTGCCCTTTCATGTAGTCTCAGTAGCACGTGGTACTCCCTGCCCTCCTTTACAGCAGTTAGCACAGTTGTATTTGTTTAATATCTATGTCCCTTGCTAGATAGTAAGGTCTGTGAGAGCAAACTGTCTGCCATGTTCATTACTTTGTGCTTAGCGCAGCGTCTGGCAAAAAACGGGTATTCAAGAGGTTTTTAAATGAACGATTGCTCATTTCCCTTTTCAGATGTATGCAAAGTACAGTGGGCACAAAGTTAGTGTCAGAACTCTCAGGAGAAATCAAGAGATGGTATCCCTGGTGAAGTGTTATTTGCATCCTTGAAGGATTAGTAGGAATTTGTCAGCAGGCAGGAGCAAATTATTCCAAAAAGAGGGAACACCGTGTGCAAAAAGTACTGAGGCACAAAAATATGGTTAGGGAATTTCTGAGTCCAGTCTAGCTGGAGTATTTGCCGGATAGAAATAGAAGATAGAAGATGAGAAGGAGTAAATCTTTGAGGGTAATAAGAGATTAGCATTAAATGTTAACCCCTCCCCCAGAAGTAAATTCATTTAAAAAAACAACTAGATAAAAGGATTGATTGGCTTATTAAGTCTAATAGTATCAAGTAGTTAATTATGAAAAGTATCTGTTGAGTGCCTACTATGTGCCAAGTACTATTTTAGACACAAGGGGGACTGAAATGATATAGCTGCGGTCCTTAGCTTCAAGAACTTCACAGTCTGGGAGAAAGAATAATGCTGAAGTGGAATGTTACAGGGGCTATGAAGGAAGGACATGGTGGGGCACAAGGAGCCTCCATATGAAGAGATTCAGGCAGTGCTTCACTGATTCAGTGAAGTTTGACTCTTGAAAGATACAGAGGTGAGGCAGAGGACATTCTAGGTAAAGGGGGCAGCAAGAGCAAAGTCAGTTGAATAAGTTATTCATTTTGCTGTACTCAAGAGCAAGAACAACCAAGATCCTAAGATAAAAAAATTCTGAAAAAAGAACCCCATTTCTAGAGTTTTCATACTTCAACAAAAGTTGATACTTTTGATAGAAAATTTGCCTGTATGCTTTAATTGCATAATGATTATCTAATTATATATTCGTTCAGTCTGTAAATACTGAGCACCTGTTTGTGAACTGATGATTCCTAGGTTTGTGCAGTGCACAAGCTGCACAGCCATACCAATGAACACAACAAAATTTTGCCCTCCTGGAGCTCACATAAAAGTGGAGAAACAGGCAATAAAACAAAATATATGGACTGTAGTAGTAATATATGGAGATGGTAGTAATGGTTTGGAATAAAATAAGGGAAAGAATAGGGAGTGTGTCTGTGGGGAGGTTTAGCGTTGGTATTTTTTAAAGGGTGGTCAGAGAAGTCCTTCCTGATAAGGTAACTTTTGAGCCCAGACCTAAAGTTGGTGAAAGAAAGCTTTGTGTAGGGAACCACAGGTGCTAAAGCTGTGAGAGTATTTGGCCTACTCAAATAACAGAAAAAAAGGAACCAAATGGCTAGAATGATAAAGGTGTGGGGAGAATGTCCAAATTGTTTAGGACCTTATATACTACTGTAGAGGCTCTGGTTTTTAGTCTGAGTGAGATGCAAAGGTATTGGAAGGTTTTGAGCAGAGAAATGACACTATCTGACTTACGTTTTAAAAAGATCATTGCTGTGTTGAGAACAGACTGGGAGCAAGGCAGAAACAAGAAGTCCAGTTTGGAGGTTGTGGTAATCCAGACAGAGATGGTGGGGGTGTAGACAAAATGGTCACATTGATGTACTGAGAAATAAAAGGATTTGGGATATAATCATAACATTGAAATTTGAGTAACTTTAACTTATCTTCCCCCTCCACAGAAAGTTTGTTAGGAATTACGATGAAGCTCCTAAACATTCTTTTAGGTTAAAGGGGAAAATGTGGCATGTAGGGAGAAATATAACTTGAAAGTGATAAAGACATTGCAATCACCAAATTGAACTGTCTGTGGTCCCCATGCATTTTTCTCCTCACAAGTAACTATCAAAATCTGTCAGAAGTACAAATTGTCCGATACAGGAACTATTCAGTAGCATGTAATAAATTTAACATATAACAAATCTTCTAGAAATATAGGAAGCATAAATGGGGCTTGGGGAGAGGTGTAATATAATATATCCCACAGTGTATAACATAAAAATATGAGCTAAGGATTTCATTTTATTTTACTCTTGTTCGTTATCTTCTGAGGCTTAAATATTTCCCATTCCTCTGCACAAGTTTCTCTGCATAGTATTTTAAGAATAAATATTGTAAGAAGAATTATTCAATAGAATCTCAGAATTTTTTTAAATGTATTTAGGTGGTCCAGTGCCAAGAGACATTTATCAGAGAATTAAAAAACTTGAGGATAAAATCCTTGAATTGGAAGGCATCTCTCCTGAATATTTTCATTCTGTAGTAAGTATAAGTGTCTTTAAAAAAATAAATATTTTATTTTATGATGCTTCATCATATAACAAACAATTCACTCATTTACCTGCTATATGTGAAACACTGGTGGGTTGTTTTTTTTTTTAATGTTGAGAGAGAGAAAGAGAGAGAACACGTGCGAGCGCGTGAGAGGGGAGGGGCAGAGAGCAGGGGTGACACCAAATCCAAAGCAGGCTCCACATTGTCAGCACAGAGCCCGACGCAGAGCTCGAACTCATGAACCGTGATGATGACCTGAGCCGAAGTCTGACACATAGCCAGCTGGGCCACCCAGGTGCCCCATGTGAAACACTGTTTTAGTAATTCAAAGATAGAGGTGCCTGGGTGTCTCAGTTAGTTAAGTGTCCGACTTCGGCTCAGGTCATGATCTCACTTTGTGACTTTGAGCCCCACATCGGGCTCTGTGCTGACAGCTCGGAGCCCGGAGCCTGCTTCAGATTCTGTGTCTCCTTCTCTCTCTGCCCCTCCCCAACTTGTGCTCTGTCTCTCCATGTCTCTCAAAAAATAAATAAACGTAAAAAAAATAATAATAATTCAAAGATAAACATAGTCATATGTAGGGAATTACCTACTTTTTAAAAAATTATGATTTTGAATTTTGTATTTAGACTCATAATTTTTTTTAAAGGGGTAGTTTTATTAAACATTACCCAAATTCTCAAACTTCAGCCATTTTCATGGCATAATATATCAGCCTAGGTAGTTGTCAATCCTGTCACTTACGAAAATGCTATCTTATAGAACAAAGGCTTCCTCTGGGACCCTGCTCTGTCAGTTATACTTTCTGTCTGTTTAATCCCTCACTGTCCAGACTCCTTCCCTCAGCTCATACATGTTTACATTTCTCCTCCATACTAAACAAACAAACACCTCAATCTGCCACCCTTTTTCTTTAGCTTAACCACTAAACTTTTTGAAAGACTAGTCAATGCTTGTCTAATTCCTCAACTCTGGCACTTATTTATTCATTCATTCATTTTTACCGTTTTTTCCAAGGACTTTAAGAAACGGTGTTGTACTGATAAGTCTCTTTTTGTCACATCAGCAGGTTTCAGACAAGTGACCCTGAGTTCACTGTGTTATTTTACTCAGTCTTCTGGGGTGATTATACATACACCTGCCTTTTCTGAGGTTTTATTTTGTTTTTGTTTTTTTTCTTTTTCTCTTTTTTAAAGCAGTGTCATATTAGAACTTTTCACCTAAAAGTGAACAAAATGTCATCTAAAAGTGAACAAAATGTTTTAATTTACTAAATTTTTAGTGAAAATTTTACTAAAACTCCTGGGTCAGAAAAACTATGTAAAATAACTCATATTAGCATGAATCATTTATAAGTCACTGGTGAAAATATATTTAAAATTATTTTAGGTAAACCAGCAATTTTTCCAAAGTGGTGAATTAGGTATTCGAGTAAGGTAAGGAAAAGAAGTATTTCCAGATGAAGAAGGCAGGTTTATATAACAAAAGTGAGCAATGAAGCTTAAAGATCAAGAATTTAGAGAAAGAGTTTTAGTGATTTATTTCCCTCAAATGTAAAATAAGGTTTATTGAAGTTCTAAAGGCTGAAGCAAGGATTAAATGAGGTAATACCAGTCAAGCACTTAGCACACTGTCTAGCATGTGGCCAAAACCTCAGTAACTCTGCATTTACTTAGTTTCAGAAACCAGCTATGAATACACTGTGTCATATGTAAAATGTGGATAAGTCATACAATTCCTTTAGCCTTCAGTTGTCTAATTTAGAAAATTTCTTGGTGATATTACATAATTGCAAAGGTTTTTCCACTTTTAGGGTTGTTCTTTGAATGTATCTTCCTAGAAAACTTGATAAAGATTTTATGCTTTTTCCTAAAACAGTCTGCCATAAGTTTTTTTTCTCCATTCAAGTTGCCTTCATTAAGTAATTCCTAGGCAGATTATTTTTGTAGTTCAATTTCATACTTTGTTAATATAGCTCTTGTTAACAACAGAACTGATCTTAACAGAGAATATCGTAGTATTGGATGCCTCCAGAGAGACCTTGCTCCATCATTATTCTCTTTCTTTTTGATTTATAAAGCTTAACATCTACCTGTTACTGAACTTGATTAACAAAAGAACAAGCCCTTCAAATCATAATCTTGTTTTGGGGATGTCTTATACACAAGATAGAATGTTTAGACTGTTTTGGTTAAAGAGGTAGACTAGTCAGATTGTAGAGGACCTTAAATACCATACCCAGAAGTTTAAAGCATTTAAAGTTTAAATGCTATTGAAAGCATTTGAGCGGGGAAGAGACTTGTGCAAATTACTCAGAAGATTTATCTAATACTCTGCAAGATAAATGAAAAGGGAGAGACCAAGAATAAGGAGACTTTATTATACTAGCTTAGATATGAAGTGAGATTCTGAACTAAGGACAAGAGAGTGTGAATAGAAAAGATTAATGCAAGAGGCATAGAGCAAGGGTGAGTCAATTTTCTGGTTGGAAAAATTATACTATCATTGATAGAAATAAGAAAATCTGGAGGGGGAGTTATTTTGGGAGGAAATGTGAATTTAAAGTCATATCAGGATATGCAGATAGAAACATCAGGTAAACTTTTCAAGAGTAGGACTTATACTTCAAATAATTGGGAAAGTCTGTAGAGGTGATAATTAAAACACAGAATGGGTAAAAGAACACTGGGATTGTCAGAGGCCTTAAGTCTGAAACTTGGTGACAACTTTAGGAGCAGGAAGCATTATACATGCAAACAGGATTGGCCTGTATGTGTTAGGTTGCCATACTTGTGATAAAACTAGTACTCTAAAAATATATTTCCAGATATGTTAAACAATATATATTTGCTTAGAAGGATCACTTCTGGATTAGTATTACAAATGACAAGTCCAAATTAATAGTGAGCTACAAGGAAGGACAAAACACTGAAAAGGTTTAAACATTCAGATTAACTCTATCATTAAGGCCTATAAATAAACATGGCACAGGCCCAATGGCACAGGCACTCACCCCTCCTAAACAGAATGAATGTGCCATCTCTGGGAGCCACACTCTTCACTTAAAGTAGGTCTGGCTCTAGGAACATCTGTGGACATGGGCAGAGTTAAAACACATACCCTGTAGAGGACATATACTCATCACTCTCACCATCCTCATGCTGGGAGTACACATATGGAAATCACGTATTTCTACATATCTTTCAAAAGTGTATAGAAAAGAGTACATATGCTGTACAGTCTTCTAGCTTCTAAAGTTAGTAAGGGAGGGGTGCCTGTGGCTTAGTCAGTTGAGTGAGTGACTTCTGCTTGGGTCATGTTTTCATAGTTCGTGAGTCTGAGCCCCATGTAGGTCTCTGCACTGACAGCGAGCAGCCTGCTTTGGAATCTGTCTCCCTGTCTCTTTCTGCCCCTCTTCTGCTCATGTGCATTCTCTCTCAAAAATAAATAAACATAAAATAAACTTAGTAAGGGAAAATTGAGCCCATTATATTTCTTATGGATTGAATTTTTATAGAAACTGAATTCTGAACTCTGAGAATATTTATCTGTGTTTATTCCAGATTTACATGTAGATGAATTCTAAACACAGGGAAGACTCATAGTTGAACAGAGATTGGTTATCATGGGTAACATTGAAGCACAGCATATGAAAAGGGAAAAGCTAACGGAAAAAAGATATAAATTGCATTTGGTTCAGGAACAAAAGTAAGTTACGTAAAGTTCTCTTCAGTTATGAAACAGACATAAAACTCCAAAACAATGTATATAAAGCAGGAATTACAACAAAGATTAGTGTTTTGTTTTACCTTTTAAAGTAATAGTTCTAAAGGTCTTCATTCTTCACATTCAACGTGATAAGATTTGAATGGGATAATGTTTTAAAATTTTTAAGGGCATCCCTTAATAGACATTTAAAAGATAAAATCCTTATTAGTATTTCCAAAGAATTATTACTGATTTTAAATTTTGACCCTTGAAACCGCAAATATAACATGCTTCACAAATATATTTTTATAGCATTGTTCATTTTACAGCACTTACCACTTACATGTTTACACATCTGTTTTTTACACTATATTTTGAACCTCTGAAGGGCAGGAACTGTGTCTTGTTCATCTTTGAACACATAGACCATAGTAGGCATTGAATAAATGTGTGAATGGATAGGGTTTGGCTGCTAGTTCATTACTGGACTTTTGAAGGTGTGTTACCTTTGTTCCAAAGCACTGACTAGGTGGATCCTGAACCTTGTCTGTAATGGTAACTCCTGGTTCTGAAGGTAAGTATAGGAAGAAGGGAGTCAACTTCATGTGCACAGGCCATGTACGTGTGAAAGTGTGTCATGGGCCTGAAGCGTGAGGTAGTAACTGGATCTGGCTAGAAATTAAAACTGCAAACAAACACATTTTGGAGGGCCTTGAAGGTCACACTAACCAGTTTGCAATTCTGGTGTCACTGGTGCACAATTAAGTTTTTGAGAAAGAGAAACTTGTTCCTATCTGGTGGCATTATGAAGTTTGAGTTAGAGATTAGAGTCCAGAAAGATAGTTTAGGAAATAGATCATTGTCCACACCAAAAAGAAATCTGAATCACGGTAGTGGGATGGGACCACAATGGAAGAAATACTTAAGACCCTACACCTAAACTAAGCCCCCAAAACCACATTTTACTGTTTTTAAGTTACTGAATCTGATGTCCTTATTCTCCTCATTCTGATACTTCTCACTTTGGTTTTGTGATATAATAATAATCTGATTGCTCAATGACATGGAAACTGTCAATATTTTAATAGACTAAACTGTTAGGAAGACAAGGGGAAGTATATTTTAATCGGTGTGTAAAAAGGCACCCCTTGGGAAGGTAGAAGACTGAGGAGTCATCTGACCAAAATTAAACCTTAAGCCCTTACCTGCCTATGGGCCCCATCACAGGTATCCAGCTTAGTTTGGCAAAGGAAGGAACCTGTTTATATAAACACCTTTCCCCCCATATTTAATAATTATAGTACTTCGGGGCACTTGGATAGCTTAGTTGGTTAAGTGTCTGACTTTAGCTCAGGTCTTGATCTCACAGTTCATGGGTTTGAGCCCCAAGTCGGGCTCTGTGCTGACAGCTTCAGATTCTGTCTCCTTCTCTCTATGACCCTCTCCTGTTCATACTCTGTATCTCACTAAAAAATAAATAAACATTAAAAAAAAAACAATTACAACACTTCATGATTTCCCACTTACTGTAACTACTGATAAAGAAGCATACCTCAGTATTCTTTGAAACAGCTTTTGACACAAAGGAAAATGAAAGTTTTTACCTTTTATTCTAAATCTTAGTGGTCAGAAATATTCGTGAGAAATTTTTGCCACCTACATTGACAATTTCTTTGTCAAATATACCGATAGACTAATTTGCCATTCAGAAGCTTATGGTTCTGTGAAACTAAGAAAATCTAGAAATTCATTTGGCCAAGGTTTAAAAGGCTCAGCAGCATGTCAGTGAGAATGTTGTCAGCTTAAGTAATAGAGATTTAAACTTAAATTGGCTTGAACAGCATGGAAATTATCTTACAAAGTAGGAAGTTCAGTGGTAGTACACTCTTCAGGGTTAATTGGTTCTTGGGCTAAATCATGGTTGTCAAAGAATTGGGCTCTTTCCCCCTCAGCTCTGCTTGGTATTGGCTTTTCCCCCAGTGGCACATTGCAAGACAGCTACTTTCAGGTGTCCTATTCAGACACAGCAGTGTCCAGAGGAACTGCCTCTTTTGAAGGCTTTCTCTTAGAAGTGAGAAAGCTTTTTCCAGAAGCTCTCTCCCGAGTCTCCAGCAAACCTCTTCTTACTCATTGGCCACAACTGGGCCCATGTCCATTCTAGTCGCTGACAAGACCAGTGGGATACGATCAGCATTCCCGAGTCCTATAGAGGAACAGTGGGTAGCTGCTTGTACAGACAACCACAGTGATCATCAGAGTCAACCAAGGATGTGTGTGTTTTCACCTGGTAATCCAAATTCTGTTTTCCTCTATTGCTTCACTTGTTCAGTATCCTGAAAGGCTATAAGAAAGGAAACTAAGTCGAGAAAGTCCCCACAGCATCTCCTTCCATAATTATTCCCCCTCATTAGAAGCTGGGAATTAATGGGAATGTGTGTGTAGCCAGGGAGGAGCATGTTGCTTTGATGTTACTACTATATAGTTTTTTGTTTTTTTTTTTTTTAAGTTTATTTACTTATTTTGAGAACACAGAGAGTGCTAGCAGAGGAGGAGTAGAAAGAGAGAGGGAGAGAGAGAATCCCAGGCAGGCTCCTTGCTGTCAGCACAGAGCCCAACTCGGGGCTTGATCTGAGCATTGAGATCATGACCTGAGCAGAAATCACGAGTCAGATGCTTAACCGACTGAGCCACCCAGGCACCCTATTACTATATACTTTTAAGATCATCTTTTAGAGAGTATCTTCCAAGATACAAGGACACAGATATCAGTGGCAGATAGTGCTTGATGAGTTCTGTGGGCTTTGTTTCTGCCAGGGTTCTCTGTGTTGTGTTCAGTATTCTATAAAGGAAAATTGTTTATATTTTCTAAGCATTGATTACTTTCTTTTTATCTAGAGCTTTTCCGGAAAAAGAAGAAAAGTACAACCACCTCAAGTAAGTTACTGAATTCTCATGTGGCTTCTGAAATAGTTGGATAAATTTTATGCCTCTCATCAATAAAAGTTTCTACACTGGTTGTTTTTAGATCATACCCTGGGATTCAAGATTGAAAAAAAAGGGGGGCAGCATAAATTAATGAACTTGAGTTAAATAATTTTATTTCAAGGGTAAGGAATGATTCATATGAGTCATATAAATGTGAAAGTATCTAGCTGTTAATTGTGGCAGAATGTATCAATTACCAAATGCAGAAAAATAATAAATGCTAGGTAATTTAAATCCCCCCCCCATCTCAGGAACCCCAAGATTAAGAGCCCTATGCTCTACAGACTGAGACAGCCAGGCACCCCACCCGCCCCTCCCCCTTTTGCTGACCCTACTAATTAGCAGCATCTAAATCCAAAAAGGATGTTTGGCAGAGGTTGACTTCAGCCTACCACTGTCCACAGTCCTACTATATTAATTAGTTGAATCTTAATTAGTGAGGTTCTCATAGCTGTTAATGGTAGTAATGTAAATTTAAAGTTGGAGAAAATTAAAAAATATTTTTGGTTTATTTTTGAAGAATAGTTTTCTACTTTTTTTTTTTTGTAAAATTTTGAATAAATTTCTGAGAGCATCCGTGTTTTCCAGGAGAGGTAGTTGCTTGCAGTTGATCCATCAAAAGAGAATTTCTAGCAGTTAAGCTAATCCTAAAGTTTAATTTTTTTACTGTGAGAATAGTCAATTAAAGGAAAAGTTTTTACAATCCTTTCAAAGTGAGAGTAGTCAGTTAAAGAAAAGTTTTTACAATCCTTTAGAAGTATCCAGGAGAGGGGCGCCTGGGTGGCGCAGTCGGTTAAGCGTCCGACTTCAGCCAGGTCACGATCTCGCGGTCCGTGAGTTCGAGCCCCGCGTCAGGCTCTGGGCTGATGGCTCAGAGCCTGGAGCCTGTTTCCGATTCTGTGTCTCCCTCTCTCTCTGCCCCTCCCCCGTTCATGCTCTGTCTCTCTCTGTCCCCAAAATAAATAAACGTTGAAAAAAAAAAAGTATCCAGGAGAGCTTCCTCATTAGGAAAGAGAAAAAAAGTATGAAATATTTTAAGCCTTGTTATTTTCTGCTTATCTGATATAGCCAACATAAATAGTTCAATTTAAGAATTATTCTTATGGGGGCACCTGGGTCGTGCAGTCGGTTCAGCATCCGACTCTTGGTTTTGAGTGAGGTCATGATCTCACGGTTCAAGAATTCGAGGCCCTTGTCAGGCTTTGCTCTGATAGCACAGAGCTTGCTCCTCCTGTCTCTGCCCTCACTCATGTGTCTGCGCTCTCTTTCTCTCTCTCAAAATAATAATAATAATAATAAAAACATTTAAAAATTACTCTTATGAAGGAAAAAAAAAGACATTTACTGTATTGTCAGTATTTCTAGTTCATTTAGCCCTTTATCTGCATTAAGATACTTCAGAGTCTTATTCAGCAATTTCTATTCTTGTTTACAGCAGAATTATTCACTGGCTGAACTTGATGAAAAAATTAGTGCCCTCAGACAAGCCCTGCTCAGAAAATCAAGAGAAGCAGACTCCATGGCTACCCACCACCTTCCATGAAAAACTCCTCTCATTCTTGTCATTTTACTTTTTTTATATACATGTAACTTACAGTGCAATTAATTAAGTGGATATGTGTTTATCAATGTAACTGTCCTTCTCTGAAATCAAGGTTCTTTTCATGAGAGTCTGGCCTGCAGCAGGTCATCTGCAGATATTCCAGTGAAGTTTGAAATGGTTATAAGGTGTGGAAAATAGCATTGTCGGAACGTGTCCCCTTCTGTTCTAAAGGAGGTATTTTGGAAACCGAAAAACTTAATTTCAAAGCACATCTTTTTGTGTGTGTGTACATGCCACAGAAAGGATGATTTATTTTGAATAGTGATATTTAAAAGGACTTTATATTTGTAACATCAGTGTTAACCAGTTTTTTTGTTTAAATCAGTACTTTGTACGTAATAGGCAAGAAGAATTTACCAACTGAAATGAATTTTAAATGAATGCATACTTTTTTCCCAAATGCCAACTTTAATGTAAATAAACAGTAGACTCTACCTTTATCCCCTTACTGTGTGACCTTTAGCAAATTAATCTCTCTTTGTATCTTAATTTCTTTATCTGTAAAATGGCATTGATAATAATAAAACCTACGGTTGTCATGAATAGGTGAGATCATGCATATACAGCTTTTGAAACTGGCCCAAGGGCAGTGCTCAGTAAATGTTAGCTATTATTCCAGTATAAAACCAAGTCTGTCTTTGAAAGTGTTTAGATGTTACAAATAGTCCCTCTCTCTTGACAGCCTCACTTTTTTACAGTGTCCCAGTTATGTTAGGCAGCATATGTATTTCTATAGTTGCAAATTAATCATTGAAAAGATGCAGCTACAGTCAAGGAGCAGATGTTTAGGTCAAGAATTGTTTTGGTTGCAAGAATCAAATCTACCTAAAATAGCTTGTAAATAGGAAATTGTTGAATCAAAAAATCTGGAATTTAATTATAAGAAGTATAGCTGGACATTGTGGTACCTAGGAGGTCACCAACAGTTCATCTCTCTCTGTCTCTAGCTGCCTCTGACTGTTTCTATGTCTAGTTCTCTGTGCCCTACCTTCCTTCTTTTCTGCTCTCCCTCTTCCTCTCTTTCCCTCTGTCTCTCTTCTTCATTCTTTTTCTCTTACCCCTAATCATCTATGTGACTGCTTTATTCTCTGTGAACTGATTTCTCTGAAGGCCTCTTCATTACTACTTGATAGTAACTTCATTACTCCATACAGGGTGACATGTTAGCCCTGTCTCCATAGCCTTGGCATTCATGCCTTTGAGTTGACATGGTGCAAACTCGAACCCAACTCTGCAGAACTCCTCTTAGATCTCACTCAGTGCGATCAGGGGTCTCTATCATTTGTGGCCAGGATGATGGGGCAGGACCTCACAGATATATACAGTATGCACACAACCTTGCACAACCATTTGTGGAAGCTTTGAGAATGGGGGCACCAGGTAAAAGGGGCTTTGAAATCATTCCCAAGAAGTAGCTGTGGACTAGGTCGATTCTACTAACATTTTAACCACTATATTTCTTCTCTGTGGAGCAACTCATCCTTCAAGATCGTCTTGCCCAGCGTAATCCAGTATTACAGGGACAGCTGCAGATGACTGCTCCTCAGTCTCCATTACAGTCTGGTCATTGTAATGATCCTGCCAGAATGACCTCCTCTGGGTTTACTGGCACATTTACTACCATCGTGCCAATAACAACAGGAAAAAAGTCAGTAAAAGTAAAAATGAGGGGCGCCTGGGTGGCGCAGTCGGTTAAGCGTCCGACTTCAGCCAGGTCACGATCTCGCGGTCCGTGAGTTCGAGCCCCGCGTCAGGCTCTGGGCTGATGGCTCAGAGCCTGGAGCCTGTTTCCGATTCTGTGTCTCCCTCTCTCTGCCCCTCCCCCGTTCATGCTCTGTCTCTCTCTGTCCCAAAGGTAGTAAACGAAAAAAAAAAAATTAAAAAAAAAAAAAGTAAAAATGAGGTTGACTTAGAGGTAGAGAAGAAACCTAGAAAACAGGATCACATACTGGTCACTAGTCTGCTCCGAAATAAATGTCTTGAGTCTGTTTCTTGACCCTCTTGACAGTAGAATAAGTTCCCAAATCATGCCTAACAGTCCTAGGATCTGTCCACTAGAAGGATTTCCTTTTACCATTGTCCCCTTCAAGCCTCCTCTCTCCACTTTAGTAAGTGTTGTCCGGTGCCAGCATCCTTTCTACTTGAGTTCAAGCCTCCAAAAGAGACCAGGACTAAACACCATGTTGATTTGAGTTGGCATAGGTACTTATTCAAGACTAAGGTTCTGATGATAACTACCCCAGAATTTTAGAGCGTTTTCAATCACCATCTTTCTTGAGTACATCCTTGACTGAAAGTCAATGCTAGGAATTTCTGTGTGGGTAAGTTTGCTTCTTTAATTACCAGGCTACCTAATGACCATTTCCTCAGGATTTTTGTTAGTTTGGCTCCTCTTAGACCCATTGTTCTTAATGGCCCGGTCCTCAAGAGAATAAAGGAGGAAAAGTGGAAAAGGTTTTGCAAAACAGGAAGCACTTCCACCTTGGTCTACCCCTAAAAATCCCTCCCCTCCAGTCTAAGGAAGTGATTTACTAAGGGTTGGGAGCTAGCAGGGGTGATAGTAATCAATATGTTTATCCTGAGGAAAAGGGCTGGGTTTCCAGCTACTACTGGATAGCCTTTCAATTGCTAGGCTCCTGAGCCCTGAGCTTTTCCAAATTCATGAATGGTATCTGGACCTCGTCTTCAACAATCTCATTAGAAAAGACTTACCTTTATGAAACAGATAAGTAATTTTGCTTTTCCCTATCTGCTTTTAGCCAACTGGGTATAGAAAACTTTTTGCCACTGCATTTTTAATCATGTCCATAGGGAATTAATCCTACATTTTGACATTTGACAACTTTTAAATCTAAGCTTGGCCTTTAGTGACATGTGGTTTGGGTCCCAAGAAATTTTAGACAATTGTTTAGCTATTTTGCCAACTCTTACCTCCATACTACCCAGTTTTCCATGGCATAAGGAATCCTTTCTGTCACTCCTGCCTTTATCCCTCTGCCTTGATTCCACAGCTAGTTCTTCATTTTCACTCAGAGTCTGTGACTTGCAGTCCCATTGCTGGCACTAATTTCTGTTTTAGGGATTTGTTGTTTTCAAGAAACAGAAACCCAACTCTAACTTACATATAGGTTGTTATAAAGAATATAATTCAGGGGTGCCTAATGGCTCAGTTGGTTAAGCACCCGACTCTTGATTTCTGCTCAGGTCATGATCTCATAGTTCATGAGTTTGAGCCCCTTTATAGGGCTCCACATGGAGCCTTCCTGGGATTCTCTCTCTGCCCCCTACCCCCCCCCCCAAATAAATAAAATTTTCAAAAAAGAAAATAAAAGAATGTAATTCAGGGCGCCTGGGTGGCTCAGTCGGTTGAGCATCCGACTTCGGGTTCAGGTCATGATCTCACAGTTTATGAGTTTGAGCCCCGCGTCAGGCTCTGTGCTGACAGCTCAGGGCCTGGAGCCTGCTTTGGATTCTGTGTCTCCCTCTCTCTCTGCCCCTAACCCACTCGCATTCTGTCTCTGTCTCTCTCAAAAATAAATAAACATTAAAAAAAATAATGTAATTCAAATTGCAGGAAGTTCAGCCAGGTTTTGTCACTCTGTCACACTGAGCCATGTCGTCTGGATTCTGAATATATGCCCCGTTCTGCTTATAGCTTGACTTCTCTGAAAATGTCTTCTTTTCTCCTTCTTTGCAATTTAGTTTTGTGTAAGACTTTGGGGTCTGTGTGCTGCTAGCTCTCACCTATCTCTTTGGCTCCAGTGTCCCGTGTTTATTACAATTCAAAATATGAAAAAGGAGTAATTTGTATTCAAAACTGTCTACCCCTGGACCAATTATCTGTGGCCTGAGAGGATATTCAAGAACAAAAAAAGCCACATGACCTAGCCCTTTGGGGGAATAAGTGGCACTTCCACCAAAGAAAGCATGGGCCAAAACTCTGCCCCTGTGATCTAGATTGATGGAACAGTTGGCCTTTACAAAGTTTTTAGTTCTCTAAGAAATACTTTTCTCCCCCATGACTTTATCTGAAAATGTTTTATGATCTTTTAACCCTAGAGATATCACATGAGTCCATTAAACAAAATTTTAGCTTTGGGTTTCTTTTTTGAGCAGTGCTAACTTTATAAAGATTGATATTTCATGACTTTTAGTCTCTTAATATTCTCCAAGGGATAAAAAGAAAATTTACTTTTTAAAAATAGAATAAAACTCATATTTTTCAATTCCCATAGAGGTCCACTGGACCCTTCTATAACTCTAAGATACATTATGGGATCTCTGATTTAATTTTTCCTATCTTTTGAAATATTTTATTTCATCATCCAGCAACTATTTAATTATTACTAATCAACTATTTGCAACTGTGCCTTAAAAGACTAAAATAGTAAGGAAATGGAATGATGATGGAAACACCTAGAAGAATGTAATAGTATATATAACAGTAAAATAAGTGAGGATCCTTCTGTTTTCACATAACATTGCCCAAAGTATTGCATTATCTTTTAAGAAGATATAAGGGTCTAGAGAGACACCATCTTTAGAGTTTTTTTTTTTTTTAAGGCTTTCAATGATGATTACAGTTAATAGTTTAGATTTCTTTGTTTTTACTATAATGACAAGTAGAAGGAAATTAACAGAATTTCCACAATTATTAAAGGAATCAGAAGGTAAATGCAAAGAGACAGAGGGCAGTGCTCTGGATCCTAATGATGTTGATGAAATTGACCACATAAGCAAAATCTCAGATGAAATTGACCACATAAGCAAAATCTCAGATCATGAGTCTTCAGACTGTGTATTCAAAGTCTGTTTTCTCAAACTCAAGAATGAATGAGTGAACCATATATTTCTAAGCACAATTAGAATATCAGGTATTTTCATCCACTTATTCAATAGTCATCATGCAAATTTTATAAGGACCTGGGCCATCTAATTTTGCTAAATGGGTGGTGTGGTTGTATTTTTTCACTTTTTATGATGTTTATTCACCAAAATTTACTTGATATAGTTCCTAAGTTGTAAAGTGCTGAAGACAGCATTTTTGTATATACAAAGGTAATTGAAAGGATATAAACGATGTGGAAATGAAAAAATTACTGGACTGTTCATTCTAATTGATGCTTATAAATCTAAAAAAATTTTAAATGTTTTCCAATAATTGCCATCCTTCAATAAAATCATATCATCAAAGTTTTTTTTTAAGTTTTGTATTTTCACGATGCAAGTGCAAAAGAACCATAAGTAATGATAAACTAGAACCTAATAGAACTGTATTTGAAATCTAGAGTCACTATTTACAAGATGGATATGTTGCAGGTT